TATCTGTCATGTTCAAGAGGGCATTTTAATGAGACTAGAACTTTAGTATAATAAACAACCCAGACAGCACTTTTATAATGAAACAGGATTGGATTCCACTGCAATAATTACTGTAGCTATTACCTGCTTTAATATATTATCTTTACCTCATGATCCATTTTTGGTATTGTTTATAATATACCCTGTGTTAGTTTGCTGTTTGCACTGTTCTCTAATTTTGTAATCCTAGTCCTACCGCACTGTTCACTGGTTGTCTTCTTTATTATTTACAATATAGTCCGGCTTTCTCAGTAAAACTATATATGAAGTAAATAAATAAAATATCTCCCTGGGCTCAAGTTTTGCCCTTCATTTTTTAAATCAAGGAACTAGTCATGACAGTAGTGATGACAAAAGGCTTAAAAAAAAATAACCCTGCTCACCACTAGATTACTTCTTCAAAGAAACACTATAGAACTATTATGGCAAAAACCTTGTGTTGTTATGTCAGCAGCAGAACGGAGACACTACAGTTCTCACTGTTATTCTTTGCAGGTATTCTCGAAATAAGAACAGTGGCAGTTGGAATAGTGGCAATCAAAGGAGTGGCAAGTGAATACTTTCTAGCCATGAACAAGTCTGGGAAACTCTATGGAAAGGTACTAGCACGGTTAATTGTCCGGCTTGACTTTAGTGGACTAACATATGCATTTGCTTTGAAAAACAGCTTTGTCACATAATGCTTCCCCGTCAGTGCAGAAGCATCTGCAGATGTCTAGACAAGTACTGTTCCTCACCCCATTGCCCCAATTTTGTTTGCCACCAGAACTTCACAAGTAGACACTGCATTTTTGTTTTGGCACTTGGGTCAAAAAGGCTGCCTGCCCTTGAGTCCCTGCATTTAACTTGCTGTTGAGTGCAGTCTTCACCACATTCCCAATCTCCAACAACTGGTTTATTTACATCGCTCTGTGTGTATAACCAGCACAGCTGGATGTAGAAACCTGTTTCTAGATTGCAGCAGATTACCATTATATAAACAACCAAAAGCCTGTGATGAAGAATTCTCCAGGGTATCGCGCAGAAAGATTTTGGCCTTGCTTACACAACATAATGTGAGCTGTGAAATCTAGAATGTACTAAACTAGATGGAAATTTTTATGTAATGAAACTCATTTCCCTTTAAAAGGCATGACAAGATTTGCGAAAATACTTGTTTCAATAAGAGATACAGCTCAAATACACCATTTCAACAGCAGATAATTTTGTTCAGTGATACACAATCTTCCCATATAGACCAGTCGTCACTGCTCTTTTTTTCTTTTAAACAGAAAGTGTGCAATGAAGACTGCAACTTCATAGAACTGATTGAAGAAAACCATTACAATACATATGCTTCAGCAAATTGGACACACAAAGGGAAGGAGATGTATATTGCATTGAAACAGAACGGTGCCCCTAAAAGAGGTCCAAGAACAAGTAAGGAAGACGTATCTTCTCATTTTCTTCCATTTGCAGTATCCTAATCATGCAGATGTCAATGGAGAACCAGTTCCAGCAAAAATGTTTTCATTTTAAAATGGGGGACAGTTTGAACATGCAAGAAGGAGAAGCTGGAATACTACTGAAACACTGAACAAGCTGGACTTGCGCATTTATGTTTATTTCTAAGAGACTGCCTTTTAAGAAAAAAATTGAAAATATACACAAAATCAGATTTTAGTAACTAAAAGTTGTAAAAAATTGTAAAGAGTTGTACAATCCTTATGTTAGTATAAGAGTAGCATTGCGGATTCTTAAGTTAAATTTACTCTTTATTGAAGCGTTTAAGTCGTGACTTGATTATCTGACAATATTTTTTTATTTAAAATAAACCTATCTGCTTAATTAAACATGGCTGCTATAATAATAATAATAATAATAATAAAGCAGATGAAAAATGTTTGTGTAAAATACATCGGACTTGAAGGCTGCTGGGATGATCCTGCAGATCATCGTTGGTACTCATTGTAGAGGCTGAGCAGTATTAAGTACTTCCCAGGAAAAAAAGTGTGTGTTTAAAAAAACAAAAAAAAGAACATTGGGTCACTGTGGTATTCAGACAATAAAGCTAGTGCGGAAGATAAAGGTTGCACCATTGCAGAATGTTCACATGTATTAGCTCAAATACCTAATGCTGCTCTGAAAGATGTTGCAAAATAGTGTATATAAAATAGTATTAATAAGGGAAATGTACTTCATCTCACTTTCTTCAAAATATCATTTTATATAACGACGAAGTAAAAAATTCAAACATCATACGGTTTTAAAAAAATGTAACATAGCCTATCTTTTTATATAATTCCTGTTAGGGCATATGGCTTCTGATATTTTTTTCCACCATTATTCATGCTTTTTCTGTTGTTACAGCATTAAACTTTATTTTAAGTTATAGATGAACGTTATTGTTTTAAGTTATTTAAATTGATGTTATTTATAAAAAAAAAAACCTTATTAAGCTGCATTTGTTTCATATGATTTTGACTCTAAAGGAACAACAAAACAGTCTGGTTCAGCGGCCACCTCCCCCCTGCTGTCTATGACCAGACATAAAGTCTAGTACACAACACTCTTGCCAATGTGCGCTGGATGGCAGACAAAAATGACAGCCTGCAGCAATTTGTACAATGGAAGTCTCTCCAATGGAGTAACCCACAAATGCAAAATATCTAATGCCATTTTCTCCTTTCCCGTTCAGTCTGATAGCATTCCCAGAGTCACGGCAGACATTAAATTGTGGTTCAGAAAAACTGGCCGAGGACAGCTATGTAGTTTGCGGTCATACATACCTGGAGGAAGACTTCAGCATGCATATTCCCAGTCAAGTGAGAACACAAACTCTTGCCCAGTCCAGGTGTGAGAGTTGCTCGTGTTGGAGCCCCATTTGAAAAACTGGCCATCACATCCATCAACTGTTTGAGAAGGGCAGAAGGCCAGGATTCAGTTCCCCTGCTTCATCCTCCCTTCCAAACAGATGACGGGCTCCTAATGCTGGTTTGGTAACTGGGTTCCACATGCACTGCTCTGGCAGTTGCACAGGTGCAGTGCAGTAGTCTAGGCATAGGTACAAGAAGATACCCAGGCCATTTCCACATGGGTTCTCCGCCCCAGGTTAAATGTTGTAGGGGGGGGTCCTGCTTACCCACAGCACTGCGGTGTATTGATGTACTTCCCACAATTTCCCCAACTTTTTTTCAACCTTTCTCAGGCCTAGTGTGCTGCAACGTTTTGGGAAGGACTGAAGTAAAGCCTGGATGGCTGGCATGTGAGGAGGAAAGTTTGGATTTTCTCATCCAGTGGCAACTGCTTTGCCTGATATTGGGTGCGTTCAGACGGGCCGTTTAGTCCGCTTTTGGCACGCTTCAATAATGGATTTTATATCCACGTTCACACACCCAACATCTGCGCACCGTCCCCAGCCATCGCTTTCCAGCTCAAACCCCCTTTAAAATGGAGTATTTTGTTACCAGGTCCCCAGGTGGTGTTTTCCTGATTCTCTGGTTCTAGCCGCACTTTTCTGATGTCTGATCGCTTCTGCGGTGTCAAGCCACTTCTGCTCGGAAGCCCGAGGCTTCCGCTCTTCGCCAGCCATTTTATTTTAGCATCGGCGGTATGCGCACAGGCGGAGCTCCGCTCCCGCATTATTAAAAACCATGTTTAAACGGTGCCTAGTTTTGTTGGTTAGACGAGTTCGAGATCTCACGGAGGCCTGTTTCGGGGTAAAGGTTTAAAGGGAAGTGTTCCTTTAAAGTTTAAAGGGAAGTGTTACAGCAGTTGGGTTGAAGTGGAAATCGCTGTTCTGCACACGCACGAAAATTTTAATTCTACAGATGGCCGCCTGTGCGCATGCCCAAACTGAGAAGGGGGGAGAAAAAACACCGATGCACGCTCCCACATGTGGACGGCGGGGAGCGATGTGGCTGCGCAGTGATCCGGAACAAGGAGGTGAGTGTGATCGCGATTCTCCAGGTTAAAAAAAACACATTGGGACCGGAGCAATTTAAACCGCTCCCAGCACGCCGTCTGATTGCACCCACTGTCACCTTGGCAGCCATTTCCTCCCCCTGCCACCAAGGAGCTTGGGGGGGAGAATCAGCAATTGAATATTGTTGTACTGATATAACAACAATCCATGTAGTATCAGGTTCTGTGAATTCCTGGTCTCTAGCCTCTTCCATTGCAGAAATATAAAGGGAAAGGCATAGCTCTGCAACAAAATGGGCTAGAGACTTACTTTAAAAAAAAAGGAAAGTTGGGAATTCACAGAACCTGATACACAGCTTGTTATAACATTATACTGATATAACAATATAACCGTGGCTTAGGGGAGGGGGAAAATGCCTGCTCCTGGGGGACTGCAGCAGAGGAACTGCAGGGGAAACCTGCCATGTAGAAGACCCATTGCTGCTGTGCTGAATCAGCAGCCACACCAGCAAACACGGAAACCACTCAAGCATGTCACCATGTGGAAACCATCCCAGTGTCTTGCTGCAATTTGATCTGACCACTTTTGGATTCTCTTCAACTCTCTTCTTTTAAGAAATATGCAGAAGACCAAATCATTACACTCGAAAACACTATCTAGGACCAGAAATTATCTGCAAAGAACCAAATTCTGTCACCTAACATTATTTTACAAACTCATTTTGCTTTCAGAGCCTTCTGTTGGGGAAGTGAATACAGACACACAGAACTTTAGAAGCAACACTACTTTTTGTTTTCTTTAAAAAACACAACACTAGGAAAGCACATTTAATGAGCATCCGAAGAAGCCACACTAAGATATTCCATGTGGTTTTTGAATGAAAGAAAGGTTGTTTGCATGAAGGATTGGAAGCTGGATTTAAAACATAACCATAAGCCAGAACATTTACCAACTAAATCCAGAAGCAGAGTTGGCTATTTTAAAAAGTTATTACCTAATTAATATAATCCAAAGGCCCTGAAACCACATCAATAAATATTACATTTGTATTTTTTATGTTTCCACTGCATTTGGATTGGTAGGCACACCACCATGTTCATGTTCTGCCTATCATTATACATTTGGTGTGGGGGTGCTTCTCTGCTGTTATGTGACCCAAAGCTCAGTTATCTCTTAAAAGAGGTAAGGGGCTGTCCACAGGAGTGAAGAGGTGAAACTAGGATTACCAGATCTCCAGATTCACTGGGAAGAACCTGGGAATTCAAATATAATACTGGCAGAGAAGAATGTAAAACCCAAAAGGGGGGGAGGGAGGAGAGAGAGAGACAGAGAGAGAGAGCCATGCCCATCTCCAGTGCAGATTATAGTTAACTTGGATATATGTTTCTCAATCTCTATGACTCACAAAAAGAGGAAGACATTAAGACTGGAAGAAAATACTGGGGAAAGGGGGGATAGTTAAACCCTCAGAATGAGAATGGGATCACATGCTGGAGAAAAGCCAGGTTGAAAATATCTTGCCTATTCTGTCAACTCACTGAGACGGACTCCTCCTCCTCGAGACCTTGAAAAGGCAGCAAAACCCTTGACCCTTCTGGTTAAACCTCAGGGGAAACCTTATATTTCCTAAAGGCACATTGAGACAACTGTCATTTGGAAACATTTGGAGATGGAATCAGAGATGAGTGCATAATACTTTTCAAGCTTCTGTTTTTATTGCTATTGAAAAAAGACACTTTTTGACACACTTTCAAGGGGTCCTTTGAAACTGCTTCTCTTTCTCCCCCCAAGTTCAGGGCACCAAGCACTGCTCAGATGGAACTGAATTCAAGTTAGCAAATGCAGGCATGATGCAGCCAGAGCTGAGCTAAAATCCAGTGGGGCGTATCCAACCATGCAGGTCCTGGAGCTAATGTAATCTTGTGTCTGCCAAGGAGGGTGGTGGTGGCAATTTCCAATTCCCTCTCCCTACTTGGCCGCCATGCTAGTACTCAGACTGTACTGACCCCCCAGAAACAAAATGTCAAGCTCCATAGGTCCCAACCAGAGGTGGAAGTGAGAAAGTCCAGCTCCATTAAGTCAGCAGATGCTTGGATACACCCCACTGATTTACTGGGAGACAGCCAGATGCTCCCTTTGAAAAGCAACCAACTTCCAAGTACTAAGTTTTGGCTAGATCATGTCCTATGTTCTTCAGTGCTCCCTTCTCCTTTTCCTGTGCTGAAAACATTGCACTGAATATTCTACTTACATAACATTGTCAATTTTCTATTTATGATTATCAGTGTCAGCTACCGTGTAGCCCTCCAAACTACTGTTTGTAATTAAGTGTTCCAACTATATACACAGCTGTGGCACATTTATTATATTACTAGAATAAATCAGTACTAATCAAAGAAAATTACTGCAACTTGCACCAGCTAAGTGTTTCTGTCTTGCCACGCTCTGAAAGTATGCTGCTGTGGATAAGCAAGCTGACAAAGGGATGCATGATCCACAGAAAGTTAGGCACATCTAACTTCTAATAACATTGACATGAATAAAGTACTCAACTGTGTTCTTGAAAGCTCACTGGTTTTAACAGGACTTAAAAGTTAATCTAGACATGAGCTCAACATGATCCTTATGGCAGAAAGCTGGTCACAAAAGAATTTGAAATCAGAGAAGCGGAGGTGAGGAAAAGATGCCGAGCCTTTTCTCCATTCTTCCCCCTCCAAAAACCCCCAGATTCTTTCCCA